TTAAAAATGTAAAAATGGGGCTGGTGCTGTGGCATAGCAGATAAAGCTGCTGCCTACAGCACTGGCATCCCACATGGGCAGCAGTTCGAGTCCTGGCTGCTCTAATTCTTTTTTTTTTTTTAAAGATGTATTTATTTTACTTGAAAGTCACAGTTAACATACAATGAGAAGGAGAGGCAGAGAGAGAGAGAGAGAGAGAGGTCTTCCATCTTCTGGTTCACTCTCCAGATGGTCGCAATGGCTGGAGCTGTGCTGATCCAAAGCCAGGAGCCAGGAGCCTCCTCCAGGTCTCCCATGCAGGTGCAGGGGCCTAAGGCCTTGGGCAATCTTCTACTGTTTTCCCGGGCCATAATAGAAAACTGATTCGGAAGTTGGAGCAGCTGGGTCTCGAACCGGCACCCATATGGGATGCCGGCACTGAAGGTAGTAGCTTTACCCACTATGCCACAGCACCAGCCTCCTGCTCCACTTCTAATCCAGATCTCTGCTAATGTGCCTGGGAAAGCAGCAGAAGATGGCTTAGGAACTTGGGCCCCTGTATTTGCATGGGAGACCTGGAAGAAGCTCCTGGCTCCTGGCTTTGGATCTGCCCAGCTCGGGTCATTGTGGCCATTTGGGTAGTAAACCAGCGGATGGAAGATATCTCTCTCTCTCTCTCCATATCCCTGCCTTTCAAATAATATTTTTTAAAATGCAAAAAAAAAAAAAGTTTTAGAGACATTGAAACATGGTATAAGTCAGGAAAAAGACATTCATTTTATAAAACCGTAGGTGCCAGCATTGTGGCGTGGCAGATAAAGCCACTTCCTGTAACACTGGAATGCTCATGGGCACTGGTTTGTGTCCTGGCTGCTCCACTTCTGATCCACTTCCCTGCTAATGGCTTGAGAAAAAGCAGTGTGGGATGGCCCAAGTGTTTGGGGCTGCTGCCACCCACATGGAGACCTGGAAGAAACTCCTAACTCCTGGCTTTGGCCTCGCCCAGCCCTGGCCATTGCAGCTATCTGAGGAGTGAACCAACAGGTAGAAAATCTCTCTGTCTCTGTCTCTGTCCCACTCTCCCTCTCTGTAATTCTGACTTTCAAATAAATAAATAAATAGATCTTAAATAAAATAAAGTCGTGTATGTGTAACAGCAGGTAGAGAACATAAATAAACAGGGAGCTAAATCACTGTCCTGATTTGGAAAACTACAGAGAATAAAGAAGACAATACTCTGAAAATTAATACATAATCTTAATGCATAACTCCTCACAGAATTATTTTTTTAAGATTTTTAAATTTATTTATGCATTTGAAAGGCAGGATGACAGAGAGGGAAAGATAGGAAGAGAGAGAGAGAGATTTTTCCATCTGCTGGTTCACTCCCTAAATGGCTGCAACAGTGGGGCCTGTGCCAGGCTGGAAGTAAGGGGCCCCAGACTCCATCTGGGTTTTACATGTGGGCAGCAGGGATCCAAGTACTTGTGCCATCATCTGCTACCTTCCCAGCACATTAGCAGGGAACTGGATAAGAAGCAGAGTAGCTGGGACTTGAACCAGCACTTCGTTATAGGATGTGGGCATCCCAAGAGGCTGCTTAATCAGCTGTACTATAACATCTATCTACCCTTGGGAATATTTTTACAATTTGGAAACTTGATGAGACAATTTATTTGAAAAATAAACCCACAAGAATTCCAAGGAATGTTTTTAAAGGAAAAATTAATGCAAAGGGTTGGCCCACCAAATCTTAAAAAGTACAGTGTAAACAATTATGATATTGTATTAAATATACAGAAGTGTCTGAATGAAACATATAATTAAAAATAGATTCAAACTGTCACATTAACATAATGAATGCCAAAGTTGAAGCTGAATCAGAACAGAGAAAGCACTCAAAATTTAGAAAGTATTGCAGAGAAACTGGATATCAGTATGGAAGAGTATAAGCTTAGGGCCACACTTCATCAAAGTTAATCAAGCAAAAAACAAGAAAATGGCCTGCATTTTGGCACAATAGCATCTCATATGAGGGCTGCATGAATTCCGGATGCTCCACTTCAGATCAAACTCCCTTCTAACATTCCTGGGAAAGCAGCAGAAGATAGCCCAAGTCCTTGGGCCCCTGCCATCCATGTGAGAGAACTGGATGGCATTCCAGGTTCCTAGCTTCCACCTGGCCCAGCCCTGGCCACTGTGGCCATTTGGGGAGTGAAGCAGTGGATAGAAAAATCCCTCTACCTCTTCTTTCTCTGAAGCTTTGCCTTTCGAGTAAAAAAATAAATCTTTTTTTTAAAGGAAAAAAATGAACATATTTAAAAATTAATACAGAATCCAATTAAAATGTGAACATGAAAGAATAACTGATAGTCTATTATCTAAATATATAAATAATTTATTAAAGTCTACTCATTAAACTTTGAATATTATGCAATTATGGGTTCGGTTTAAATTTAGGTTTAAGGTTAGAGCTAGAGTTATGGTTAGCCTTACTGTTAGGGTTAGGCTTAGGCTTAGGGCTAGGGCTAGGTTCAGCTTTAGTATTAGGGTTAGGGTTATGGTTAGCCTTAGTAGATACTTTGGGTAAAATATTGTCCCAGGAGTTATAAGAGGTAAAAGGTAAAGATAAATACATGAAATACACATGTATTTGCAGGCCAATATAGAAATACAGTGTAGATAGAAGTCCATAGCAAAATGTCAAAGGTTTTAAGTGTTATGAGAGAGGACCAGATAGAATGTTCTGGAATTTCGGAGGGAAAACCAACCTCTTAGGACTGGGGCCAGCAATGCTGAGGAGGAGCAGCACTGGGGAGATATCATGAACATGACTTGTATTGAATTGGGCCTTGAAAGATATATTACATTTGGGCAGAAAGATGTAGAATGAAGATGATTCACTCAGAAGCAATGATGTAAGACATGACATTGGAGGTAGAAAATGAAGGGTTATGTATAAAGAATGATAGGTGACTTTTGCCAGAGCACAGGGTAGCAATTAGAAGGGGAATTTAAGAATTAACACTGGAAAGTCAAGTTGACTATAGGTCATGGTTGAAGGATGAGGGTGTAAGGAGACTTGAATGCAGGCAGCTGAGTTGGTCTTTGTTCTGGAATCAAAGAAGAGCCACAAAGGTTTTTCAACAAAAGAATTCAGAGTCGGGGCCAGTGCTGTAGTCTAGTAAATTGAGCCCCTGCCTTTAGTGCCAGCATCCCATATGGGTGGCCAGTTAGTGTCCTGGCTGCTCCTGTTATAATCCAGCTCCCTGCTAATGGCCTAGGAAATCAGTGTAAGATGGTCTAAGTACTCGGGCCCCTGCACCCACGTAGGAGACCTAGAAGAAGCTCCTGGCTCCTGGCTTCAGATCAGCCCAGCTCGGCCCATTGCGGCCATTTGGGAAGTGAACCAATGGAGGAAAGATATCTCTCTCTCTCTCTTTCTCTCTGCCTCTGCCTCACTGTAACTCTGCCTTTCAAATAAATAAATAAATCTTTAAAAAATAAATAAGCAGAAGAAGGGGATCAGTGATACGGCACTGCGGGTTAGGCTGCTGCTTGCAACACATATCAAAATGCCTGTTCAAGTCCTGACTGTTCTGCTTTCTACTCAGCTCCCTGCTAATGTGCCTGGAAAAGCAATGGGTGATGGCCCAAGTGCCTGGGGGACCTAGATGGGATTCCTGGCCCCTGGCTTCAGTCTGGACCAGACCCAGCCCAAACCCCAGCTGTTGTGGTCAATTGGGAAATGAACCAGTGAATAAAGATCTCTCTCTCTCTCGATCTTTGTCTCTCTCTCTCTCTCTTTCTCTGTCACTCTGCCTTTCACATAAATAAATTTTTTAAAAATAAATAACAGAAGAAAAATAGGAATATTCTTTTGTTTGGAAGCTACCCTGAGTTATATCTATATTCCCTTTAGTAACTACCCTCTTCTAACTTCTCAAAGTATGACCTTATAAAAGTAATGCTCTCTCATAAAACCAGACCTTTCCTGCACTCTGCGACATGGTATGCATCTGACCTGTTTTTCCCAAACAGGGTTTCTTTGGCATGACTTCTGTGACCCAGTCCAGCATTAGATTCAAAGCTGCATTGCCCACTCCTCCTTCCTTGACCCCTGTTCACATAACACTGAGACTGTACCTCCCTTCTTGAAATTTTTCTTTTTCTTTTTTTTCTTTTTTTGACAGGCAGAGTGGACAGTGAGAGAGAGAGACAGAGAGAAAGGTCTTCCTTTGCCGTTGGTTCACCCTCCAATGGCCGCCGCGGCCGGCGCACTGCGGCCAGCGCACCATGCTGATCCGATGGCAGGAGCCAGGTACTTCTCCTGGTCTCCCATGGGGTGCAGGGCCCAAGCACTTGAGCCATCCTCCACTGCACTCCCGGGCCACAGCAGAGAGCTGGCATGGAAGAGGGGCAGCCAGGACAGAATCCGGCGCCCCAACCGGGACTAGAACCTGGTGTGCCGGCGCCGCAAGGCAGAGGATTAGCCTAGTGAGCCGCAGCGCCGGCCGAAATTCTTCTTTTTTGACTTAGCTCTAAGACACTGTACCTTCTGAGTTTCTTTATTATACGTCATAGTTGGTCTTTCTCCCTTTTCTCCCTGGTTTCTATTCTCCCCATCCCAAATCTAAGCATTCTAGAAGACTTTTTTTTAAATGATCTAGGTAATTTAATTTCTATTATCTTCTAGAAAGATTTTGATGTTAATATGCACCTGTTGTAACAAATTACATAAATCTCTCTGTATAATACTTAGTACATAATAAACATTAGCTGTTTTTATCATTGTTGCTACTATTTTTATCAGCTCAACCAACACTTAATAAGCCTGTTTTATGGCTCAGGCTTATGTAATAATTATTCAGAATACATATATATGCATATATAATATGGGGTGGTTGTGAGTCTCCACAATAAAACCACAAACTCTGAGGATGGATTAGCTTCAACCTCTTCTTAGTCAGCTTGTCCCTGGCACTCAGGTTCTACTGAACTGAATTCCGGAACATCGGTACCTTTGGTGAGTGGCAGGCCTCACATCATCGCTGAGACTGTGTCCTTGCACTTCCATCCTCCTGGTTTGCTCAGAATTTATCCCTTCTTCCTGTAAGCACAGTAAGAGTAGGGTCAATCCTGGAGCCCTGCCAGAGCACAGCCAAGGACCCTACAGGAGGCCATGGGCAGCCCCAGCACTGCAGACACTGGACTGGAGAATTACCGTGAGCTCCAGCCCTGCGTTCTCTATGCCGTTCTCCGCTGTGGACAGAGCAAGAGACTTTCTTCCACTGGCTTTCTCCATCCTCTCTTCTGAACTGAAAAACAAATTCAGGACGAAGGCTGAAAAACGGGTCATTCTGTCATGTAGGGCAAGAAAGAATATTTAGGACCAGTTACCCAAAAGAATCACAAAAACAGAAATGTTAGAAGGTCAGTTGATTTCTTTAAGAGCTAAGAATTAGGATGATTGGATGCATCATTTTAATATCATAAGTCATGAAATATTGGAGCTGTTTCCTATTGTTAATAGCTAAGGAAGGAGCATCAAGATAGGAGAAGAGAAGGGATGAGTGTGCTCTCCAGGCCCTAGGACCTGACCTACAGAGACCCTATTTGGTCCCTCAGAGGGAAGGTCATAGGTGTCTGCTCTTAAACTAGGATTGGCCCCAGTGAGTTGTGCTAAATAAGAAAGAAACAGAGGAAGACAGCTGGAAAATCTTGGACCCCAAAATATTGCTGAAAAAAAATTAACAAACCTTCAAGTTATTGACTGTAAGAAACCTACATTTAGAATAATTGGTATGAATATTAATGATCCTGAATAACAAAACCTTTAAAACCAAATTAATCAAGAAGCTTAAGCAAACATTTGAGCCTCAGAATAAGTAAACCTAATGCATAAGCATTCACATTTATAATCTAAGTTCATTCTGAGATGTTTCTTTACTTTGCAGAAAATTTCCCTCCCCATAGAACTATTTTTAAAAATGTGATCTCTTCAAGCATTAAACATACAATCTCATGAAACACAGAGACCCTATTTTTATTGTGTAAATTTGGCCCTTCCCATATAGGACCAGAATTACTTGAGTTTTGAGTTTAGCCTAAATAGGATCCATTAAGAAATTGGTTTAGCTGAGTATCTGCCCTCCCCTCCCCCACCCACCCCGGTACCCTTGCTTACCCCAGCTTGTGGGATTCCTAATGGCTCCTCAGGGAAGGACTGAAGGAAAAACAGAGTGGCAAGGGAGAACCAGCATGGGGGATGGGAGGCTCCTGTCATTGGTTGTTTTGTTTCTTGGGCCCTCCTTCTCTGTGCCTGCCCTTTCTCTTGGAGAGGAGGAGGGAAACTCTCAGGTTAAATATTTATATGTCTTTAAGACTATTTTGTAGAACTAAGAACTTTGCAGGAACTTCTCACAGACTCATCGGAGGAAGCATTCCTCATGACTGGGCTAGGCTTGGGTAGTGTGTTAAAGAAATGTTCAGAAAAAAAAGTCTCTGAGCTCCAAAACCCACCATCATTTTGTGCTAGAAAGACATTTTGTAGAAAAGAGCAGAAATAAAAGCTGTACATTATTCAATGCCAAACGACTGTTAGGAATTCTGTTGTTAACCCATTCAGTCATTTCTTCAGTACCCACTATTTCCCAAGCAACTGTTTTTGAGTGCTAAAGATGAAAAGATGAATGAAGCAGTGTCTCTGACAACAAAGAACTTACAAATCAGGAGGGAAGACTGACATATCGTGAACGCTTCACAGAGCTGGAACCCTTGCCCTGAGCCTGGAGTCTAGATAGGTAATGAAGGAAGCATTGACAGGGAAAAGGGTGTGCGCAGGGAAGAACACTACAAGACACAGAAGAGCAGCCCTTCCTGACCAGTTAAGCATGCTACAAAAGTTAAAGAATGGGGGAAAATTGCTGAGAAATGAATTAAAGAAAGATAGAAACAAATTTAAAAAAAAAGTTAAGGACAGGGGGATGTAAGAGCAGGACACAGAAATCAATCTGGAGTTGCAGTCAAGTACCGGGTAGACATGGACTTTGTAGGCTGAGCTACAAAGTCTGGGCTTTTTCTGGACAAAATGTAGAAGCAGGAGGAGAATGGATTGGAGATACTTCCCAGCAACACAGAGTCCTTCCAGTCAGGAGACAAAAGCAGTGGTTCAGGTGGTACACGGTAAGGCTCTAACCAAAGCAAACGAGGATAGACAGAAGCAAATGGATCTGTATTAGGACTTGGTGATTAACCGGTCATGGAGAGGATGAAGCAAAGAGGAGAAGATAAATCTGCAGAATTGGCCAAAATGTTCTTGTTCCTGCCATATTCTACCTTCCAGTAACACTTAGGTGAATGTCATTTCCATAACACCCAGTGTTCCCTTGCACCAAAAGACTTTGTTCATGGATGTTGTTCCCTCTGCCTCTAAGACCCTGACCCTATACATGGACCTAACAAATTCCTTCAAGTCCACCCTCTTCAATGAAGCTCTCCTTTGACTCCCTCCAACAGGACTTATAACCCCTGCCCTCTGCTCCTACCACAGCACATTGTTGCAGAACTCGACAGAAGACAGAGGACTCCAAATTTCACTTGTCTCCCACTTACTGTGATCTCCTCAGGCACAGGCTCTCTGTCTTGTTCATCTCTGTATCTCCAGGCTACAATCTGCCACAGTACCAGGCAATCAGTAAATATCTGTAAAATAAACGAAACCAACAATAACTCAGGATTCTGGCTTAGATTATTTAGTATGTAGACAATGATTCCAGTCATCAAAATGAGGACACATGTTTCTGTTTCCCTAGTTCCATGCGCGTGCGCACACACACACACACACACACACACACTTGCTTAATGCTATCTCATAAGATTACTATGGAAGTTACTTATTTAACAATATAGGAGAAACATTTTGGAAAATAGTAGATGGCTTTGCAATTGTAGGATGCTATTTGAAGCTCTTCAGGAAAATAAGACACCTATGTTCCAAGTAAATGTGATTACAGATATTTTTGAGCTAATCCCTGATTGTCATCTCTATATGACTGTGAAGTATATCTTGCTCACCGTATCCCACACCTTATTTCATTTTTACCTTAGATAATTGCCATTTTGGGGACCAGGTCCAAGCATCACGATAGGCACTTCCTAGTTTCCTGTCCAGGTAACATCATATCAGCGATCACAACTCTGTCTTCTCTCACCCACTTCCTTCTTTCTTTTCCTGAATAAGTGTAAAGAACCTCCTCTTCATCTTCTAATTGCAGACTACAACACTCTTCTCACCTTCCCAAGAGACCCAGGTTTCTTTTAAATGCAGATGTTGACATAAGCCAACTCCCAAGAGGAAGAGAAGGAAAAGAATTACCCTTACAGGTGCCTCCCCTCGGTTAACTGATTTGGACTCCACTGTTTGTTTTCTGTCATATCACTTCTAGGGGAGGTTGATAAACTGTCAAATTATGGGTCAGGAAGGACATGATTTACCCAGAATCAACAGCTAGTTAGTGATTCAGCCAATTCCAAATACTGAAACCATCACTTCTAGTTCTGAGCTGTTTCTTGGCTATGAATTTAAAGGTTAAGTATAGATGCCTGTTTCTGCATCACTTTATAGTCTTCCATAAGATTTTTCTATAATTTCACTGTTCGTCCTCATAATATTCCTGTAAGGCAAGCAAGTCAGTTACTAATCCTATTTTAAGTACAAAGGAAAACAGACTCAAAGAAGATGAGCAATTTATCTAAAGTCATAAAAGCTAATTAGGACAGAGCCGGGACCAGAGGCAGTTCTGGTCATATCCATGGATGCTGAACCTTATAATTGTGTTAAAGCTAGAAACAATTCTTGGAAAACAAGGTGACCAGCTACACACCCTTCTGGGAAAGAATTAGGGCAAAAGTAATGGATGATATCATTCTCCCTGCTTTTATCTCTCCTTTTTTTACTGGTAGAAGCAAGCAGAACTAGAGACAATATAGGACCTTCCAATTGTAGTCTTAATGGAATAGTTGGTATTTACTCATCCTGTTTTTTTATATACAAAAATAGTTTAAAGGCATTGCAGAGCAGCCAGTGGAGGAAGGACTTGAGGATAAATGATCCTTGAAAGAAGGGAAAACAAGAGCTGAGCTCCACATTCATCCTAGCTCTTTTCTTTCTTCTCCTTCTCCTTCTTCTTTTTTTTTTTTTTCTTAACTTGAGAAATGCCCTGCTTGTTTACAGCAAGTTCTTTTTTTTTTTTTATAAAGATTTATTTATTTATTTGAAAGTCAGAGTTACACAGAGAGACGAGAAGAGGTAGAGAGAGGTCTTCCATCTGCTGGTTCACTCCGCAATTGGCCACAATGGCCAGTGCTATGCCTATCCAAAGCCAGGAGCCAGGAGCTTCTTCCAGATCTCCCACACAGGTGCAAGGGCCTAAGCACTTGGGCCGTCTTCTACTGCTTTCCCAGGTTATAGCAGAGAGAGGGTTCAGAAGTGGAGCAGCCAGGACTCGAACCAGAGCCCATATGGGATGCCAACACTGCAGGCAGTGGCTTTACCAGCTATGCCACAGCACTGCCCCCAGCAAGTTCTTCAAGGCCCTAACCATCCTAAGCCCTGAAGTCTCATTTCTCTTTACTTTCTTATTTCTAAAAATGATTTCAAAACATTATTTATTTATTTTTATTATTTCAAAAGTAGAGACATAAAGAGAGAGATCTTCCATCTGTTGGTTCACTACCAAAATGCCTGCAACAACTAGTGCTGGACCAAAGCCAGGAGCCTGGAACTCTATCCAGGTCTCCGACATTGGTAGCAAGAATCCAAGTGCTTGAGCCATCAGTTGCTGCCTCACAGGTGCAAATTACCAGGAAAGTGAAGTTGGAAGTGGAGTGAAGACTCAAACCCAGGCACTGCGATGTGGGATGCTGTGTCCGAAATGAAGTTATTAATGCAGTTAATGCTGTGCCAAATGTAAGTGTGCTGGCTGTGTTTCTGTGGGTATTTTATTTTTCAAATCAAAATGCAGAGAAATAATACTCAATCTTACGAGGTTTAAGATACAGAAGGTCGAGTTTGGAGCAGTTATAATGGCTGCAATTTGAGGGGGGAAATCATACAAAGGGGGAAAAAAAAAAAAAACCATGAAGAAGCAGCCCAAAAACCTACAACCAAATTTCCAAGTCATTGGCCAACTCATATAAGTTGTGTGTGCTCAAGATAAAACACTAATAAATTCATCCAAAAACTGAACAAACAAAATAAAATCTAAAAAAAAAAAAAATAGTGTTCAAAGTAGTTAGAGTGCCAATTAGAATGTTAAAGATGGTTCGAGTCCTAGCTGCTCTACTTCCGATCCAGCTCTCTGCTGTGGCCTGGCAAGGCAGTGGAGAATGGCCCAAGTCTTTGGGCCCCTGGGCCAGCGTGGGAAACCCAGAGAAGACTCCAGGCTCCTGGCTTCGGATCAGGCCAGCTTCAGCTGTTGGCAGCTGTCTGGAATGTGAACTAGTGGATGGAAGTCCTCTCTCTCTCTCTCTCTCTCTCTCTCTCTCTGTGTGTGTGTGTATGTGTGTGTTTGTGTGTGTGTGTCTGCCTCTCTGTAACTCTGCCTTTCAAATAAATAAATAAATAAATCTTAAAAAAAAAAAAAAGACCTAGGAAGAGATTACAGCAGCTGCGTGGGTAAATTTGTTTCAAGCCCTACTGAGGGATGTGGACCTTAATAAATGCCTCAGGTTTTGACTGAGACTATAAAAGAAACATAGCCCAGTAATAGGAAACATCCCAGGAATTAAATCCATGCTCTAGGGAAACTCAAAACTGAACTGACCAGCACAATCAAGCCTAAATCAAAGCCTCAACAGGTTGAAGTTAATTCATTTTTGCTATATCTACCTGACAAGAGAAATGGTGACTCTCCTCAAGGATGTGTAACATCATTCAGAGCATCTACAGATTTTCATGTGCACTGTCCAGCATCTGATTTGACCTAACAAAACATTCTAAAAATAATAGGGCTGAATGACTAAAAACAAAGAGATAAAAAAACGACAACAGAAAGTAGGCACAAACCTGTGTTTCAGATGTTGGAGATGTCAGAAAAGGATGTGAAGATAACAATGAGGTGGGCATTTGGCCTGGCAGTTAAGATGCCCACATTCCATATCTGG